TTTGGGGCGCTGAGGGGGCCTTGGGGGGCTCAGGGGGAGTTTGAGGGACCCCTAAAGCCAAAGAATTTTGGGGTCAGGGATGTGGTGGGATTGGGGGGGTGGGTTTGGAGGGGCTTTTGGGGCTCCCCAAGTCCTCGGGGGGGTCCTGGAATTTCAGAGAGTCGAGATACAGGTCTACCCCTGCCCCCTCCCTCGTCCTATAAAGCCCTCAAAGTGGGGGTTTGGGGCTGATCCTGAGAGAGTTCCGTTATTTCCGTGCAGCGCTTTTCCCGGAGGGTCCGGAATGCGGAGCTGAGGTGGGAGAGTTTCCCCTTCCTGGCAGGTAGGAAACAGATCCAGAAATTCCCTAGAATTCTTTATCCCATCCCCATGGGGGGTCTCGTCACCCTGCTCTATCCAGGGCCCTTGGATGGATTTTCCCAGCATTTCCTGTGGATTTGAGTCAGGAATTCCGGGCACTGGAAATCCTCATGAATGTCTCGACTCCTTAAAACCAGGGGGTTTTCCTCCAGGTTTGGGAGGGAAATCGCAGTTCCCAATGTCTTCCTGGTGTTCTCATTGCTGCTCCTCCAAGGAAAATGAGGAAAAAAATAGGCCAAGCTGGGGAATTTGGGATCCCTTGGATTCCTGAGGAACAGCTTGGAGGAAACGTCTTGCTGTGGGAAAGGAGAGAAATTCCACCAGAAACTCCCTCCTTTTCCCCTTTTTTTTTCTTTTCCCCTTTTTCTTTTTTCCCTTTTTCCTCTTTTCCCTTCTTTTGTCTCTTTCCCCTTTTTTCTTACTTTTCCCTTTTCCTTCTTTTTGATCTTTGGTTTTGTTTTCCCCATTTTTCCTCCTTTCCCTTCTTCTTGTTCTTTGTTTTTTCTCTCCTTTTTTCATTTTCCTCCTCTTTCTTCCTCCCTTTCTCAGTTCCTTTTTCCCCCTCCTCTTTCCCCCTTTCCTCTTTTCCCAGCAATCCCTGGAACGTGCTGATCCCCTTCCCAGAACCTTTGATGTCCTAGTTCCGGGAAGTTTTCCTTTAAGGAAGGAAACGAATCCCCTTTGACTTTGTGTGGCCTCCACAGGGGTCCCGGATTCCTGGAATTCCAGGATTCCTCTCCTGGGGCCAGTTTTCTGAGGCTTTTCAACACCTCTTCTCCTCTTCCTCCTCCTCTTCCTCCTCCCCCTCCCGGCAGATCCAGCCCTTCCAGTCCAACCCGCCCTTCCCGGCGCGGCTCCGGAACCCTCCGGCCCGGCCCGGCCACGTCCTTCCGCCCTCCCGGCCCCGGGAATGTGACCCCATGGGGAGAGTCCTGGGATTTGTCCCAGGTACGGGACCCGCCCGGTGCCGCTTCCCTTCCTGGGGTTTTATTTAAGGAAAACTGCACCTGGAGCGACGCCTCCCAACCCGCCCCAGCAGGGCTGGCTGGGATCTGGGATATCAGGTGTGACCCCGGAGCTGGGAGGGAGCTCCAGGAATCCTCAGGATGATCCGGGCGGGTCAGGAAAACATAACCTTCACTGGTTCCCTTGGAATTCCGGGAGTTTTCGGGGCTTCTTGATGAGCTTTGATCCATCCCCACCTTCAGGAGCTGCTTCCCAAGGATCCCAAACTGCTGCTGGAATTTTTTTTGTGGAAAACCCAGAACTGGAGAGATTCAAGTCTGTCCCTGCCCCTGCTGGCACCAGGAAAACGATTTTGTGGAAAGAAAAGCCAGCTCAGGGATATTCCACCAAGGGGGCTCTTCCTGCAAGAAGATTTGGGGTTTATGGGAAGGACAGGAATCACCTCCCTGCACCCTTTTTTCCATTATTTTTCCTTTTATTTTTTATGCTGAAGGTGCCACCAGAATTCCCACCAGGATACAGCCAGAACAGCGCTGGTTTGGGGGGAATTTGGGGGGGAATATGAGAATGCTGCACCCTGTGTGCTGAGTCGGTTCCTCGTTAATTGGTGACTAATTAAACCCAGCGGGATCCAGGGAATGTGACCTGCAAAGGACTGAGGAATGGGGGGGGTTTAACCTCCTTCTGACCTCCATCCCACCCTCTGGAATTCTCCAGGATCCCTCTGCCCCCCTGCCCCAGTGCTGCTGGTTTTCCCCCACCAGCCCCCAAAAAGGATATTTTTGGGGTGAAATCAGGTGGATTTGGTGTCTGGAGGCACGGAATGCTGCACCTTGTTCCTCCGAGAATCTTTCCCACGGAATTCCCAGCAGCACAAACCCAAACCCAGCAGATGTTAATTGCCCCACTCTGAATTTGACCATTACTTCCCCAGTCCAGGAAGATTTTCCACCCAGAAATGGGATTTTGGCAGCTCAGGGAGGATCCTGGAAAAGTGGAAGGAGGGATCAGCCCGGGATGAGCAGGAAAAATGGGGAATATACGGAATTCCAGCGGATTTTGAGCAGTATGAAAGTGAAGGAGGAGAAAAACTTGCCCAATGGATCACGGATTTGAGGAGAAAAACCTCAAAAATTGGGAAAAAGCAGAGAAAGACTTGGAGGCAGCAGAATTCCAGAGCCTGGGAGGCGGGATTGAGCCTATGGGAGCAGATGGAAAAAATGGGGGGAAACAGCAGGAGATTGGCCCCCAGGAGCAGCAAAAGTGGGAAAAACAGAGCCAGCCCAAATCCCTGAGATTTTGGGACCATTCCCAGAGGGATTCGGTGCCGATTAATGGGATCCCATTCCCAAAATCCTCCGAGCTGGAACTGTAGGATGGCACTGATCCTGTTCCATGTCCCCCCCCATTCCCAGGTGTCCCACTCCCCTGTCCCCCCCATTCCCAGGTGTCCCACTCCCCTGTCCCCCCCATTCCCAGGGGTCCCGCTCACCCGTCCCCCTCGTTCCAGGTGCCCCCCTCGCCATGTTCTCCAAGAAGAAGAAGCGGGTGGAGATCTCGGCCCCGTCCAACTTCGAGCACCGGGTGCACACGGGGTACGACCCGTCCGAGCAGCGCTTCACGGGGCTGCCCCGCAGTGGCAGGGGCTGCTCGCGGAGTCCGGCCCCGGCGTCCCGCAAGCCCCTCGTGGACCCCGCCTGCATCACCGCCATCCGCGCCCCCCAAAAGGTGGGCGATCCCCGGGGGGGAATTTAGGAACCGTCGGCAGGCCCCACAAGGTGGGGGGATCCCTGAGGGGGATTGAGGAACCATTCGTGGGCCCCAAAACAGAGAGGATCCTTGGGGGTATTGGGGAACCCTCCGAGGTCTGGGCTGTCAGGAGAGGGGGTCATGAGGCCATTCAGAGCCCCCACGAGGTCTGGGCTGTTCTGGGGGGGTGGTCCCGGAGCAGGGGAGTGGTAGTTGGGTCCCCACCCCCTCTCTGGGGGGAAACAGGGGGAAATTGGAGGGTGACAGAGCAGGGAAGTGTTCCTGCCCTCTCTTTAGGACCAAAAATCCAAACTGAGGCGAATTTGGGTCCATCCCCTCTACCTGGGTTGTCCTGGAGCAGGTGAGGTAGCATTGGGGACCCCCAGGACAGAGACCACCCAGCTGAGACTCCTCCCCACACTTGGAACAAGCCCATCCCGCAGGAATTTAGGGTCATTCCCACCTGATCCCTCCCCTATGCTGTATTTTCCCGTTTTTTTAAGTCTGTGCCCCAAGTCAAGGACCTTTCCCATTCCCACACCCCTCCCATTCCCACCCCACCATTCCCACACCTCCCATTCTTCCCCATTTGCTCCTCACCCCCCCACCCTCTCCATCCCACTGTGTCCCCCGTGCTCCCATTCCCTCCTGTCCATCCCCTCCATCCCTTCTCCCTCCCC